CTAGCAATGTTTGTAAAAGCATTTATGAAAGTTGTGACTGTCTGGTGCATTTGAAACTGCCACAAGGGTGGAATGCTGAGGTATAAAACTCATGTTTTACTGGTAATAATTAAATTTTGGTGTCAAGATTGTCGGCAGCAAGGGGATACCTTCGCTGTTGTGAGAAAATAAGAAACAGAATAGATATTGATGTCTTCACATGATGAATACAGTGCATAACTATTTATAGGTGATAGATATTTTGTCAAATGTGAATAAATCTAAGACTTTAACTCTTCTAACTCCCTACTCTGACACTAACACGTCCATCAAAACGTGATTTTGTTTATTTCGAAAACAAAGTAAATATCGCCGGAAAACATGCTAGGAAGTCACCGGAAAAATTGATCCGGATACCAGAACCTTGTCAAAAGAATTGCTCCTAGACAGCGGCTGGGAATAAAGACAGCACCATCTGAACGATTATCAGAAAGAGGTTTACCGGCACCGAAACAGTCACCAAAAAAGAGACACGACCAAGAGATGTGACGCCATTAGAGTAGTCGCAGAAAAGAAGCATGATGCACAGGTCGCCATGAAGAAGTTAAGTGTTTCCGAAGCAGTCGCCTCAAAAAGGTACAGTGCTGCTAGAGCGATGACAAAAGAGGTGTGGTGCAACCATAAGATTGCAGCAAAGAGGCATGACAGTCTCGCCAAAGCAGTCATCGCAAACAAGGAAGAAAAAAATTGACCGAACAGGCAACATGAGGCCGATAGACGGAAGTTACTTGACTCACTACCAAAATCATAGAACTCTAATATGATGTGAGAAACTAATACGTAAGAAGAAATATACTGAGGATTTGATAATATGATGAATGCATGAGACACATATTATAGGTGTTAGACACGAGACATACATTGTCCAATGCGGGAAAGTATCACAATACATTCGATGTTTGTCCAAATATGAGAATATTAAACTCAAGAGCTCAATTCTTCCAACACTTCACTTCGACTCTAAAACTCAACATTCTAATGCATGTATAAATTGTTCAAATACAAAAAGGACTATGCAATGTAACATACCTATACAAACTGAGAAGCTATCTAACAATTTACAAGAAACCATACGATATTCCAGAAAAACGTCTAGTATCTATAAGTACAAAATTCAAAACCATGTTTTCCCATGAAGTCAACACTATTAAAAGTTTGATTATTGTTTCCACCCCCAGAGCACCAAACTGGACAAGAATGAATGATTTGGTAGGTCGATAAATGTTATGTTAAGATTGTGTATGACTTTGTATGATTTAGTAGATAGGAATTAAATGGGTTAGGTGCAACTGTAATTGTATTATAACACTATAAATTCTGATGATGCTCAAAGAACAAATCATAACCTCCAATTGATCTTCTTTCTCTCTTTTATATCTTTACACTCTTTTATTTCTTTACATGGTATCAGAGTCCTTGTGACTGTTCCGGCAGCTTTTCCAGCAAATATTCCGGGTCTTTTTTCCGGCAGCCACTATTCCAGTGACCGTTTAAGGAGGCGCACGTCTTTCACCTCTTTCTTTTCTATAACAATACTTTGAATCCTTGGCTTAGATAATTTTTAAGCAAACTAATGAGAGAGAAAGATGATCCCTCGATCACAGGTGACATCAAAACTCTTTTTCCATCTATCTCAAGTTCGCCAACTATTACCAATGTGAAACTGCAAGGTAGTAGTAATTATATGTCTTGGTCAGCCTCAGTCGAGTTATAGTTTATGGGCCAAGGCTACGATGATCACTTAGTTAAGCATGCAAGTGATATCGTTGCCACAAAGAGGGCTCATTGGAAGAAAATGGATGCACAGCTGTGCAGCATAACTTGTGGAATTCTTTTGACCCTAAATTGCTTAACTTATTTCAATATTGTAATACTTGTTGCAAGATTTGGACCATGCTAAAACTATACACATAAATGATTTGCAACATATGTATAAAGTAGTTTCAGATATTGCTCACCTGCAGCAGAACCATCAAGATATTGTAAGTTATTTAGCGCAAGAAATCCTAAAAGATGAGTTTGATGCTCTCATGCCATTATCCGGTAACACATCACTGCGCAAGAACAACAAGAAGATAAATTTTTAATGGTCTTGGCATTAATAGGGCTTCGATCTGATCTTGACTTTGTAAGGGATCAGATTCTAATAAGTTTGACCATTCATTCTCTGGAGGAAGCATCTGTCCTCTTATTGTGTGTTTCTTCAAAAACAACTAAACTAATGAAGTTGAAACATCTGCATTAGTGGTACAAATGGAAATGCACAGGGACAAAAAATTTCTTAAAAAGGGAGAGAGAAAGAACCTAGACCTCATTGCACCCACTGTAACAATAAAGAAAAGGAAAAGAAAAAAATAGAAAGAAAACAAAAATATATAAGAAGTGGATAAAAAGATAATAAGACACTTTAAAATATCAAAGAACAGGAATTTGGAAGATTTTTAACCCTTGCACGCACTTTTTTGGGTTGGTAACTTGTTTTTCCAATGAAAAATGATAGATGAGGTGTGTAAAAGGAGGCCTGCAGAGAAAATGTGTAATAGGGATTTTTCGTGTAAGTTGAAGTGGTAAAGTATTAATTAAGCCTTTTATTTTTTATAAAGGAAATGCAGCTGTTAAAGCTACATACCTGTTCAACATTTACTGTTGCATAAGCACAAGAAGCGTTTTCTCATTTAACTTACAGAAAAAGAATGACAACTCAAACCTGATTCTTTCCATCAGACAAATCTGCGCAAGGAAAAGGATTCTAATGGAAGGAAAAAGAATTCACTTAAGCAAATTGCTAAGAATTTTCTATCGGGTGTCTTCAAAGGAACAATTTTTAACGTTTTCAGTATTATCTAAGACTTGTGCTCACAAGATTAGTCCAAAAGTAACTGAAGGACATAGGCAAAAATGCAGTAGCCCTCAGTACTGTTAGACTGAATACACAACAGTGATTTTAGGCTTAAAGAATGTACTTAAGAGAACCTTGTGTCTTATACCTATAATCATCATAGTATACATCTCATTTTTACTTGTCTATCTTATTTTGCATTTCATAAACTTACTAAAGTCAAAAAGTGAGAAAACAAAGAACTGAGACATTAACTCATAACACAAGTACTTACACCAGTAAGTAAACCTCAGAATTGCTAAGCGATTGTTACAAAGACAACATTATCTTTTCCTCATACATCAGTTATACACACAGCATAAACACAAAGATATACAAGCATAAAAGTACATAGCAGATGCATTGTTTTCCTTTTGGATAGGTGATTTTTATATGTTTTATCCAAATATTTCCTAGAAAACTGCAATCAACATTATAGGCTCTAGTCTTTTACTCTCTCTTGTTGCATGTGTGTTTGCGCGTTTACAAGTTTGGGAAGAAAAGCTTCAGTCTTACCACAAATTCTAACTTGAACCTTTATCTTTGGCCTCATTAGCGATAGCATCAGTTACCAGAGCCATTGGTCTTTGATCAATAACCTCATCAATTATCCCAAACTCCTTGGCTTCTTCAGCGGTCATGAAATAATCCCTATCCATATTCTTCTGAATTATTTCCACTGGTTGTCCCGTATGCTTGGAGTATAGTTGGTTCAGTGCATCCCATACCCGAACAATCTGTTTTGTGTGAATTGTCATATCTTTAGCTTGCCCACTATATCCGCCAGAAGGTTGATGAATCATGATTGTAGCATTAGGAAGAGATCGTCTCTCACCCTTGGCACCAGCAGCTAAGAGAAGGGATGCCATTGAAGCTGCTTGACCTAGACATATAGTATTAATTGGAGATCGAATGTACTGCATTGTATCGTAGATAGCAAGACCTATACAAAAGAACAGGAGAAAGTTACGACAGGGTTCCGATAGCACAACGACATGGTTCTGAGTTTACATTCAAACACAATCAGCCTACTCCAAGAATGAGCTACCAAATCTCATCATGAAAGGCAAATATAAAGGTTAACCGAAAGGTGAAAAACATAATCTTAACTTCTATCATAGATTTGAACTGAAAGCACCACACTCAGCCAAATGCAGACTGCCAAGCCTACTTATTATCATGTGAAGAAATAGAGACAAACAAAACCACCAAAATAAAAGTATTTGTCAAGCTTTATTCATAGAAACAGAGAGCTAGTTACTAATCATTTCACCCTTGATAATCACATTACCAAAATCCAAATAGGATAAAATGTAGGTGCATATATTGACACTATTACCTTTTCTTTTTCTCATCATATTGAAAATTGAACTCTATGTAAAGTTAGTCATTGGCCAGAGTATGTCACTCCAAAATTACATCCGACAACAGGGGCTATTTTAGCGAGTAGTTTTCAAATATGCAAAATATAATCAACTAAAACAAAAAAAAATTCCTGTCTTTAGATGAGAAATGGAAAAAAAGCGCACACACAGAAACACTAACCGGCAGTGACGGCGCCACCGGGAGAATTGAGGTACATGTGAATAGGCTTGGATGGATTCTCGGACTCAAGGAAAAGAAGCTGAGCAACGACAACATGGGAAGTATCATCGTTAATGGGTCCATTGATGCAAATGATGCGCTCTTTCAGCAGCCTTGAGAATATGTCATAAGCCCTCTCTCCACGGGAAGAGTGCTCTATCACCATCGGTATTAGCCCGTACCATCTCCTACTATTTGGATTCAAAGGCCTTCTGCTAATTCCATTCCAAAGTTTGTGAGCAATTAGGCTGCGCATCGCTCTTTTGCTGGGATTTTGGATTGAAACCTCAGTGGATTTTGGATTGTGATAGGAAGATTCAAGTGTGGGGTTTTAACGTAATTTAGAGGGTGGAAAGCTGAGCTTATAAGCTTGTTGATTTATTTTGACTGTTACTTGGAGCCTGTGTCAAAAGTAATTTTTTTTCTTCAAAAAGAACTTTTTTAAAAATTTAAGCTATTTGGTCCAGACGCAATTTTGTGTTTTTGGGATGAAGCACAAAATTTTAGCTTCTAAGCAGAAGCAGAAAATTAATTTATTCAAAATAAAACTATTCTCACTATAAATTTATATTTTCTAAATTATCCCTTACTACTTAAGCTTTTTCTTTTATTTTGTGTTTCTAGTTTCTACCATTCTTTTAAATTTAGAGATAATACATGAATATATTGTAACTTTCCAAAAAAAAATTGACTTTTCTTGTTTTTGATTTTTTTTTTTGTGTAATATCTTGTAACTTTCCAAATTGTCTTCTTCTTTTTTTCACACTAAAGCATATCTACATCCTTCTTTGGGTTATTAATTCTCTTCCTACAAATAATTATTTATAATTTCTTTTATTATAGGCCATTAATTCTCGAATCATTAAAATAGTTATCAAATCTAATTTGTGAAAATTACCTACAAATAGGTAATAAATTTACAATTACATCACATAATCTATATATTATTAAAAGAAGAAGAAAAAACGTTCACATTAAGCCAAGTGACAATCTCACAATTGGTCACTTGGCAATTTAGGAAAAAGTTAGATAGGTTATGTAATAATTAGTTTCTTTTTTAATTTAAATTTTAAAAAAATAAATGATGCATGATGTGTTGTTAATAATTAGTTACTCTTTTTGAATTTGAATTTAAACATACTTAACTAATTTTACGAAAATAATAATTATTTATATATTTAAAATTATCTATATTTTACGCTCAGTGCCATCTTTCAAGTTTGACACTCAGCCTAATCTTGTTACAATTAACATGGTTATACATAATTTCATCCGACGACATTCTTTCTACCTATAAGGAATTCAACTATTATGCTAATGAAGATATTACTGCAGAGATTGAGGAAGGAGATGGGCCTTCTGGTCCTTTAGAAATGCAAGGCAAGTCTTCTACTAATATGGAGGCATTTTGTGATAGAATTAGAAATGAAATTGTTGAGAAATATTATCATGTATGAGTGACTTTGCTTATTATTTCATGATGAATTATCAATATACAGTAATTTGTGGAATAGACTTCTAATTCATACTGAATTATGACAATAAGTAATTATACTAGATAATATTATATGCTTTGGTATAACTATATAGTATGTTATATTGATTTAAATCTTTAATATGTATGTTTACTTTATGTTTTATATTTTAATTAAATAAAATAAAAACATAATAAAAGTCTCTAACGATAAATATTTAAGTTTATTTTTCTTTTTAAAATAATTTTAAGACCTTGGTACTATCCTTTTTTGGTAATTTGACACTCAAAAGCACATTTTAGAAAGATTGGCCAAACACAATTTGTTTATCAAATATTACAAAAAGTACTTCTTAAACGAATTGGCCAAACACAAACTATTTTTTTTAAAAGTACTTTTGGAAAAAAGCACTTCTAAAAAAAAGTACTTTCCAAAATAAGCAGTTTCTGGCAGCTTGGCCAAACGGCTCTTAAGTTCTATGAAAAGTACCACTTTATATAACGTTCAATTTTTTCCTTTTTCTTATTAAATAATTTTATTTTATCCTTTATCCTACCTTTTTATATAATAATTCTATCTCGTACCTTACTTTTTATTTATAATATTATAGGTTTATTCTTTATATTATTAGTGCATGACATCATAAAACGATAGCAAACAATACAATCTATTCAAACATTGTATATATCAAAACGATACAATACAATACGATATATTATGAAACGATACATAACAACCATCCAAACAAATTATAACAGCTTGTTTGGTAAACACCCAAAGTGCTAATAAGTCAAGTGCTTATAAGCTAAAACAAGCCACAAGTCATAAGTTGGTCATCCCCTAATTTATGATTTTTCAGCTTATAAGCACTTTTAGTTTTACCAAGGCTTTTACTAGTTTATCCTTAATAATATTTTTAATTCACAAAATATATTTCCCAAAACAAATTTCCTAACTTTTCTTCATTCCATATTCTTTATTCATCCTTTTCTTTAAAAAGAAACTTTTTAATTTATAATATTTTGTAAAGTTTTAAAAGGTATTTTAGTTATTTTAACAAAAGAACAGCTTATCAGCTTTTTTTTTATCATATATATCAACTGCTTATTATTAGTTTCAACACTTTTATCCAAACACGTAAATGTTTATTTTAAAAAAATTAATTTCAACACTTATAAATATTTTTCAACACTTCAAGCTTATCAACTATTTAGAATCACCTAATCCAAACAGGCTCTAACAATTTTTAGTTAGGGTTTAAATAAGTCACAATACTTTGGTCCTGAACTTAGTAATTTGATAGCCTCGTGCTTTGGATGTTGATGTGGTCGTGGGAGAAAAAAAATTAAAAATTAGTTTCCAAGTTGAGTATTTTTCAACTATTAATCCTGTCACGACCCGAAATCCAACTAGTCATGATGGCACCTAACCCGATCTGCTTGGTAAGCCAAATAAATGTAATGACCCGACCGGTTGTTTCGAGCATTTGCACTTTGCTCCGTAGTTTGAGGGCATGAGTAGCTCCGTATGATATATTATGACTTATGTGAATTGTCGGTTTTGGTTTTCAGGTTATTCGGCATCGATTTGGAAGAATGAATTTCATGATTTAAGCTTTAAGTTGGAAGAGTTGACCAAGTTAGACTTTTGTGAATTTGACCCCGGAACGAAATTTTGAGGGCTCTGTTACGTCCGGGTGGTGATTTTGGACTTGGGCGTATGCTCAGATTTTTGCATTTGAATATTTCTAGAAAGATTCGGCGCTAATTGGCGAAAGTTAGAAATTTGAAGGTTTGGAAAGTTCATAAGTTTGATCGAGAGTTGACTTTGATAATATCGGATTCGAATTGTGGTTTCGGGAATTGAAATAGCTTCGTTATGTCATTTGGGACTTGTGTGCAAAATTTGAGTTCGTTCTGAGTTGATTTGATAAGGTTCGGCACGAGTTTTGAAAATTAAAAGATTTAAAGTTCATTAAGTTCGATTTGAGGTGCGATTCATGGTTTTGATATTGTTATGCATGATTTGAGGCCTCGAGTAAGTCCGTGTTACGTTATGGGACTTGTTGGTATATTTGGACGGGGTCCCGAGGGGCTCAGGTGAGTTTCAGATAAGGTTCGGACCATTTTGTCGCATGTTGCATTTGGCTAAGGATGATGGTTCTAGTGTGGCTGCATCTGCGGACAATTGGTCGCAAAAGCAACATCGCAGATGCGAGGACCTCTTCGCAGAAGCGAGGTGAGACCTGGGCAAGGAAGATCGCAGAAGCGGAACTAAGGGCGCATTTGCGCGTCTGCAGAAGCGTAAGTCTAGCCGCAGAAGCGGCGTGTGGCGTAGAAGCGGGAGTTGGTTGGCGCACCTGCGTGTGCGCAGAAGCGGAAAAACTCCGCAGGTGCGGAAGGGCTGGTGTTCATAGGTCTTCGTAGAAGCGAGATATTTCCGCAGAAGCGGAGGTTGCAGATGTGACAATTTGACCGCATATGCGGAAATGACTGGGCAAAAGCTTTTAAATCGAGGGTTTGGTCATTTTATTCATATATGGAGCTATTGACCTCGGATTGAGACGATTCTTGAAGTAATTTTTTACCATGTGACTTGGGGTAAGCATTCTTGACTCAATTGTGATTATATTTCGTGATTTTATCTTCGTTTTTGGTAATTGGATTATGGATTTTAAAAAGAAATTAGGGGTTTTAGCCTAAAGTTTCATAGTGTGAGTTTTTGAGTTTTGAATATCGATTCGGAGTCGGATTTGAGTGAAACTAGTATGGTTGGACTCGAAATTGAATGGATTATCGGATTTTGTGAGTTTTGTCGGGTTCTGAGGTGCGAGCCCGAGGTTTGACTTTTGGATTGATTTTGGGCTTTTGATTAAAGATTAGGCCCTTATCGATTGGGTTTGTTTCCTTTGGCATTAACTGATGTATTTGAGTTTCTTTTGGCTAGTTTTAAGCTGTTCGGAGGTTAGTACGCGTGGGGTGGCATTTTTGGAGCATCGCTTGGCTTGCCCAACATTGGATTTGGCTTGTTCAAGGTAAGTAATACTTCTAAACTTGGTGCTGAGGGTATAAAATCCTGAATTACGTGTTATGTGTTTGGTGTTGAGGTGACGCACATGCTAGGTGACGGGCGTGTGGGCGTGTGGGCGTGTGGGCGTGCACCGTGTGAATTGTGACTCCGTTATTTCTATGGTACTGTGTAGTTACCTAATCGTATCTGTAACCATGAAATCTCTACGTACTAGAGCTTTGAGCTGTGATTCATGTTAGAAACCATGTCTAGACCACATGTTTATTCTATTGGGACCCACCAAGGTCATTTCTGCTGTTGAGTTATTTGCTTACATTGCAATTACATACTCAGTCATACGCATTCATTTGCATATCATATCTCAGTTTCTGTCACCATTTATTGATACATCACATCATCATTTTTGGACTGATTTTCATGATATTGTGAGCCCGAGAGACCGGAGAGATTGATGACTGGGCGATGGCTAAGGGCCTGATTTTGAGGATATTGATTTATGATGGGAGCAAGCTGCACGCCACAGCAGATGTTATTGATTCATGCCATGATTGGCTTATTATAGCGCTTCGGCTGAATGAGCCCCTCCGGAGTCTGTACACACCCCCAGTGAACGCAGGTACCTACTAAGTGCGAGTGCCGGGTGCGAGTGCCGAGCGATTGGGAGGATTGAGTGATTGGGAGGACTGAGCGATTGTGAAGACTGTGTGACTGTGAGGACTGAGTGATTGGGAGGACTAAGTGAATTGATACTCTGAGAGTATGCATATGGTTTTATCACTGAGTTGCACTGCATTCGACGTGCACACTTGACATACATGCATAAAGATGCATTTTTCTCATGC